ATGTGGGTACTCAAATAAAAGGTCTCGATGATTGTAACATCGGGATGAGCTTATATCTTTAAAAATGTCAATAGTTCACAAAATACAAGGTCATTTCTTAATTATGTTAAATTGCACTGTACTTTTTTAAATATTGACATTTTAAAAAATATAAGCTCATCCCGGTGTTGCACTCATCAAGAGCTTTCATTTGAGTACCCACATGCATTTTTCATATATTTTATATATTTCATATATATGATGTTTATAAAATGTATGAAAAGTGCATGTGGGTACTCAAATGAAAGGTCTTCATGAGAATAAGATCAAAATGGACTTATATTTACGAAAATGTTAATAATTAAGGAATGACTATTGCATTTTGTTAAGTAATGGTATTTTTAACGATATAAGCTCATTCCGAAGTTACACTTATCGAGACCTTTCATTTGAGTACCCACATCAATTTTTCATATATTTTATATATTTATATATTTCACAAATATCATCATATATATAAAATATATAAAAAAATTCATGTGGGTACTCAAATGAAAGGTCCTGATGAGAATAACATTAAAAAAAATATAAAATTATTCTAGTATTTTAATTGTAGTTTTTTTAAACAATATTATTAATTTTTTCCAATATAGATAAATTTTAATTAAAAAAAAAAACATTATTAAAAAATTGCAATTAATCTAAATTAATCTCTTTAATAAAAGATTAAACTTGAAAAATTATAAATAAAAAATCAATTAAATTTCTCTATTACCAAAAAAAAAAATTTTAATTGACAATAAATTAATTAATTAAAAAAAAATGAATTATTTAAAAAAAGTGATTGGAGCATTTAAAAATAAAAAAATTGACTACGATGATCAGTTGTATGTGAATTTTCCAGGCCCAATTGACTGGTCAACGCGCTGGCATGCAAAAGTTCTCACAGTATTATCCAAGTTCGATGTTGCCGCCACCACCTCCGGCTCCGATGGCCAGGCCAGTCGCGATAATACGCTCCACGGGAGAACTCTCAGCTTCTGGGGGCTCGGGATCACCTCCCACATCATCCTCGTCGCCAGCTGACCCCTCAGACTTGAATGGTGCGGCCCAGAGCCAGCAGGACCAGCAAATGGCTGCAGCTGCTGCTGCTGCTGTTGGCCTTGTTGGTTCCAATTGTCAGACTTCGGTGGACAGTGGAAGGAAAAGCCCCACGAGGATCCTAGTCGCCGCGCCTCACACCAGTCGAGAGTACACCTTTGCTCATTTTCACTCTCAACCTGGACAAGTACGTTAATTATTTTTTAATTAATTAATTATAATTGTAGCCAAGATTTTTGCCTTAATATAAAAAATAAAAAAATTCAAACCATTAATTTAATTTTAAAATCTTGGCCCTAGTTTTAGTCAAAATCTACGACTTTAATTTAATTAATAATAAACAATTTAAAATTATAGATTAGTTTTGTTTTGGGTGTGTTAATTAGTTAAATTTTAAGTAAGTTATTTATCAATTAATTATTATACAGCAAATATTTACGTACCCTACTATCAGTTCGATGTCCGGAGTGATTTCACCGACGAATCTCTCCCTGTTTTCATCACCGGTGTCTGTCACGAGGCCAGTCGCTACCCAGAGATCGGTTGCGAATGTACCACCGCGTTGGAACACCGCGCCGTTTATCAACCTCGAGGACGATTACAATATGATCGCCCCGATTATTGCTGGCACGCCCGGTGAACCACCTTCTAGTATGGACGAGGGTGAATATTTTACTATTATTTATTACAATCATTATTTTTCTGATAAATCAATGAAATATTTATTAGAATTTATTACTGAAAGAATTCACAAGTTTTAAGATTGTCTTATAAATATTGGATGATTTTAAATTCATTAAATTCCTTTTGAAGTACAAGAAAGACTATATTTATATTATTAACAAAAAAACTGCGAATTTTTAATTTATAATAATTAACTAGCAACCTTGCAGTCACTGTGTGACTGCCGTGACTTGTGAATTATAAAAAATTAAAATTTTTCTTTTTTAAAAAAATGGCATTTGTTAAATTGCACTGTACTATCTTAAATATTGACGTTTTTAAAGATATAAGCTCATCCCGATGTTACATTTATCAAGAGCTTTCATTTGAGTACCTACATGCATTTTTCATATATTTGATATATATATATATATATATATATATATATATATATGATATATGATATATATGATATTTATAAAATATATGAAAAATTGATGTGCGTACTCAAATGAAAGGTCTCGATGAGTGTAACATCCGGGTGAGCTTATATCTTTAAAAATGTCAATAGTCCACAAAATACAAGGTAATTTCTTAATTATTGACATTTTTTAAGATATAAGCTCATTCCGATGAAATACTTATCAAGAGCGTTCATTTGACTACCCACATGCATTTTTACATATTTTTCATATATTCATATATATATAAAATATATGAAAAATTAATGTGGATACTCAAATGAAAGGTCTTGATGTGTGTAACATGACAATATTTCACAAAATAAAAGGTCATTTTTTAATTATGTATGCAGAGATAAAATCTAAATAGTTATCATCATGAATTAACTTTCGATGAGAATGATATCAAACCTTGAAAAGGTACAAATTAAAGTCAAGACCTTTGCAATGACACTCAATTTCACTGAAAAAATCCTATACTACATTTTTCTTAGTTTTATATTTTTTTACTTTGTATATCAAGATTTATCAACAAAACTTGAAACGAAATAATCTTTATCAAAATTTTGTTAAAATAAGTCAGATTTTTATAAAAATATACTCAATATTTACAAAGTTAAATTTTCGATCAATTTTTTGAAGTATTTGTTAGCAATTTTTCATTTAAAACTTATTACTTTGATGATTCAATCATCAAAATTTGGTTTCAATTTCTTCTCTATAATTAATTTCTAAATAATCATCCAAAATTAAATAATAATTGATAATTTTTTTAAAATTATCAATTATTATAAAGTTTTTAAAATAAAAATTATTAAAAATATTTTATCAATAATATGCATGTAATAAATTTGAATTCTGATCAAAATTATAGATAAAAAATTCAAAAAACCTTAAAATTAATTAAATAATGTATTAATAAACAATTAATATTATCAATAGACCACACAATAAAATTAAAAATCAGTTTGCTATTTGCAGAACGATACTTTCACCCCGTCCACACGAGCAACGTCGTGGACAAAAGCGGGCCCGGGGGTCTGATGAGCAATGACCTCGGCGTGAACCAGAATCCGTCGACCCACCACCATCATCAGCAACAACAACACCATCAACAGCAACAACAACAAGTGCAGCAACAACAACAAGTACAGCAACAACAACAGCAGCAGCAGCAACAACAACAACAACAAGTACAACAACAACAACAACAACAACAACAACAACAACAACAACAACAACAACAACAACAACAACAACAACAACAACAACAACAACAACAACAACAACAACAACAACAACAACAACAACAACAACAACAACAGCAGCAGCAGCAACAACAACAACAACAACAAATTCAAGACAAAGAAAGAGCGAAATCACCTCCGTGACCTTTAGAAAATCGTTGCGCGTACAAAGAGCCGACATTACTAAGTTCATCACTCGTAAAATTTTTTATGCGAGTCTCTTAATTAAGCGATAAATTGCCAACTGGCACTCCAATGCTCAAACTTTTTCCCTGTATATTTTCGTCTCCTAAATTTTTCATAAAATAACCCCAATATTATTACTATTATTACTTAATTGATATTAATACTTAATAATAAAAATAATAAGAAGATCAACTCACTTAAAATCATTCGGTAAAAATTGATTGAGTGAAAAACAAAAAAAAAAGTTAATCGTAAAAGATTAATCTTATTTGTTTTGTAATTTGTAAATCCTTTGATATTAATAATTAATAAGGTACCCTCTGCCACTAGTCGTAGGTCTTCCAAATAAAAAGTTATCCGCGCCATGTGCTTCCCGGGCGTGTTGGACGTAATATCCGAGCATACACGCACTTACAAAAAATATAAAATTTAAATTAAAAAAAGTCAAAAAAAATTTATTAAGACGAGAGTAGTTGAGATCAATTATTGCCTTTAAATAATTAAGCGTTTGTTATACATTAGATGGCCTCAAAAATAATAATAATTACATTTAACTTTAATAAAAAAAAATGGGGGACGGAAAGCTGATAGTTGTTAGTCTAAAATACTGATTGTGTAGTTTGTAATAAAAAAAAAAAAAAAAAAGTCAAAAAATAATTATCAAAAATATGTTCAAAATTAGCGACCTGGCGAAAGTTTACCGGGTCTTTAATTTTGAATGTATGTAGTGAATTTTTTTGTAAAAATTGCTTCAATTGTTCAAAAGTTTGTTGTTAAAATCACAAAAAAAAATAATTAATAATTTTTATAATGATAAAAAAAAATAAATAGTCCTTAACTTTTATAAAAATTGTTAAGGAATTTTTTTGTACTTATATCAACAATTGTTATTAAATTTTTTACGCTCAAATTTTGAACTCTTGAAGCGAAACGGGTATTTAAATATACTTGGACAACGATAGTGTGAACAAATAATAATTAAAAGAAACTAGAGACACGTGATATAACTATCACGTGGATTATTTAAAATATGAATGAATAAATATATATAAATATAAATATATTGATATTGATAATGATAAACAAACGATTAATATTTATATAAATATATTAATTATTAATAAACTAAAAAGGATAAACTATTGTAATTGTTTAATACGGTTTATTGCCTATTGCTCAGACTAGTGCTTAACACTAGTAATTGACTAGTGCGTACTAGTCACTCGAGGCTGCTAGTTAGAAACAAAAATATTAAAAATTAATTATATTATTATAAAATTAATTAATTAATAAAAGAAACAAAGTAATATTTATAGTTATCAGATATAAGTGTGAGACTTTGCGCGCGCGTGTGTGAGAGCCGAGTGGATTTTATTAAAATTCTCTACATTTAAATATATATTAATTAACGATAATTATTATATTAATTATTATTGATTAATTTATTTATTGAGTAAAATTATATTTAATATAAATAGTGATCGCAGAGGAACATTACTTGCTTAAGATCTAGAGCTGAAAAATTGTTAAGCTACACAGAAAAAAAAATTTATTTTGGTAAATATTTATAAGTGGGGTCCGCCATTTTTATTTGATTTTGTTGATATATTTTTGTTTTGAAAAATGTATAAAAAAATGAACAATTAAAAAAAAATTATTACAATTTTAACAAATTTTATAAATTTTCAAAAAAATTTATAAATTTAAAAAAAATTGTGATATTCAATTTTTTTTTTTTAAATTCTTCGCTTTTAAAACTACTTTTTAAAAAAAAATTATATATAAAAACATCAAAAAAAGATAAAATAAAAATTTTATTCAAAAACATGTGAGCCAAAATTTTTTCCAACTTTTAAAGACAAAAAATCTATCAAAATTTTTCTTTTTTTTCTTTTATGACATTTTTTATTATAAATGCGCCGTAAAAACAAGCAGAAATAAAAAAAATTTTTTAAATGTTAATTTTTCACCTAATAGTTATGGCCAAAAATTGTGTGGACCCTACTTAAAATAATTACCAAAAATTTTTCTCAATTCAAGTAAATTTTACTTAATTTAAAAATTTATTTATTTTTTTCTGTGTATTTAATAATTTTCAACGAGCTTAAAGCTCCTGATTACGCTTATTGGCTCTTGTAAAATATTTTAGTGATATAAAATTCATTATTTGTGATTATAATTATTCATTTTAAGATTTTGCGAGTGAATTAAAAAATTTTAAATGAAATTTGAAGTTAATTATTACAATTTTTATAACAAACTGTTATAAAACAATCTAGTTATTTTTGTACTTAAAAAAAAGTAACCTTACGCACAAGGTTTTACTATTAACGTCAAATTAATAAAGTAAAATTCAAAATTTTTTAATTCTTTACACATTTATTAAAAAAAAAAAAAAAATCGCAAATTCTTAATCAAAAGTAATGCAGTCCAAATAAAGTGCTTTGGTAGGCGATCAAAAATATACATAAATACGTCAATATATATTTTAAATGTTTTATTAAAATTAAGCTTGTTATTTTATTGTTATTAATTAATTAAAAAAAAAAATATAATTTTTTTAGATAAGATTGTGAGGGTGCAGTCAAAATTAACCCTCCTTGTTACTGTTACGTTTTGTAAAAAAAAAAAAAAATTGTCAAATTAGAGACAAAATTTTATTTAAAAAATTTTTATTTATAATTTAAGTTATTATATTATAATAATTATAATTATTATTGTATTCTGTATATGGCTTAACTAGATTTACTATACAATAGTTTGGTTTGTTTACAACGAAAATTAATTTTAGTAATTGTTAAATATAATTAAAGAAATATTGAAAAAGGAAACAAATCCTTTTATCAAAATCTATTTCTTAAAATATATATTTATTTACTCCTCCCGCTTGAGCGCCCGATCAATCGTTATTAATCGCACAAACGAGTGAGAATACGTAATTAATAACGCTGAATTGATACTAATAATTAATAATAATAATTAATAATTAACTTACTAACATAAATAATAAATACTAAAATTACGACTAAAGTGAAGAAAACTAATATTAGAAATAAAAATAAAAAAAAAGGCTCAACTATTTCGATACAAATGCCAATTTTGTGAGTGAATAATAACAATAACGCTCTATTGTATTTATTAAAACCAAAAAACTTTTAAATCTCCTTATTGTTAAAACCTTGTCACGACTATTACTACCACCACTAATTACCACCACTTTAATATTATTATTTGTAAGATTTATTAACAACTAATTGTTATATTTGTTAATGAATAAGTATCCTTATACATTATTTTTAATTTTTTTATTAATTTTGAGTTATTGAGATAATTTACAATTTTTCAAAATATTGGAGGAAGAAATTTTTGATTCTTGCAAAATTATCTCAATAAATTTAAAAATTAACAGTAATTATTTTTTTACTGTAAATTATTATTTAGAAAACTTTAAAAAAGATGAATCAAAATTAAGTTTAAAAAGTTAATTAAAAATTTTAATCAAAGTTGATTAAAAATTAATTTTTTTACTGTAAATTATTTTTTAATAATTATTTAAATCACTTTAAAAAATATTAATCAAAAGTAGCTTTTTAAGAAAAAATTGATTAAACAAAATGGCGGGTGTGAGATGGATAGGTAGATTTATTTAATAAAATATAGAATATTTGATAATAAGTGACTAAATATGCTTATTAAAAATTTTTTATATTTTGAAAGAAAATGAAGAAATTAAAAGAAAGTTCAAAAGTCAACGAATTAGAGCTTAAATTAAAAATATTTGCATAAATTTGACGATTAATTTGATTTTGGATAAATTCTGATCCGCCATTTTTACGCTTTTGATATTAAATTGTATACTTTATAATTTTTTTAAATATTGGAGGAAGAAATCTTTGAATCTTGCAATATTATCTCAACAAACTTAAAAATTAACAGTAATTATTTTTTTACTGTAAATTATATTCTTTAATAATTACTCAGAAAACAAAAAAAGATGAATCAAAAGTAAATTCTTAAGAAAAAATTAAGTTTAATAATTTTTTATATTTTCAAAAAAAATGAAGAAATCAAAAGAAAGCTCAAAAGTCAACGAAGATATTTGCATAGATTTAAAGATTAATTTAATAAATTTTGGACCTCTTACTGCTGACAAATGAAAAGATGATAAAAAGCTACAAACATGTTTATTGATGAATTTTTTTAAATTTATCTAAATAAATTGAAAAAATTATCAAAAGTGTACAGATGATAACTTCAATTAATGATAATTGAGTGAACTTTGAGATAAAATTAATTGAACTATATAATTTTCAAGCAGCACAACTCCAAAACTAACTGACCGATTCTGCTCATCTTCGAACTTTATCTCAGTATTGATTCATAGAATAAGTCCACAAAATAAAGCATATAAAATAATTTTTTTTAATTTTGACATAAGACCGGTTGCAATAGCTATATTTGTAAATAAATCTACCTAAAAAAAATTTATTTGAACCAAATAAATAATTTTGAAGAAATTTTCGCCTTGATTCAAGACAATAAATTTCTTCAAAATTATTTTTTTGGTTCAAAAATTTTTCTCTTGATTCAATAAAATTTGTTTTTTAATAAAAATAGCAATATTACCAATAAATTCACTAGTAATAAATCAAAAATACTTTTAAAAAGCTAAAAAAAAATATTAAAATGACTGTATAAGGATATTTAATCATAAAATCTAATTATAAAACTATTTTTACGTGCGTATAAAAAAAAACCAGCTGAGAATGCTTACCGCCATACCTAAACAAAATGCCTTTTTTGCAGGTGGCTTATACGTTGCTTTCTCATTTATTTGTAAGAATACTGTAAATACTACTAATAATAATTATAATCTAAAAAATTAAAAAAAAAAAAGAAAAAAAATAAACTAAAGGCAGTGAGATAATACGTAAGTGACGCACAAGTGGTAAAGTAGC